CCCCCCCCGCCGCCTCCTCAAATCTCCATTCGGAATTGAATAAATTGCTCACGCGCATACGCTTCTTTTCTTCATAAAATATACATTAGTCGAGTCACTTTTCAGGATGGGGACTGCGGATTCACAGATATAAGAAAGAAAAACAGGTGACGGTAGCGAAATTCAAACGATTGACGTCCGAACAGTCTCTGATCCCGACTACTTCATCAATGCACTCACTTGAATGGGGGTTGGATCGTGAACTAAACCTGAACTTTGATATAACTAACTCCTAACTGTCATTGTGCAATCAATCCTCGTTCAGTTGCGAATAGAAGAGTTGTGTGCGCAAAAAGCATTGGTTCAGACGATCAAGTATCCCGCAAGTGGAAAGCAGATCAAGTTGTACGTTTAAAAGCGAATTGATGCAATGCGTCGATCGACAAGGATTACACAACCCACGTCTGCATCTTCTCCAGTCTATTAATAATTGACCTGGACTGTTTCAGCCAACACAACCATCTCATTATCTTCTTAAATAAATGTGACTATCAGGTGAATTACGAATAAAATCACCAACTTCGGTGTTTTGATTCTACTACCTGTGTTCTGATTGCCTGCAAGCAGTCAATACCTTTAGCTACCTTATTACCTCGATGACGCGAGGGAACCTTGTTCCCTGCGTAATTGTTGGATAGCCCTATTCTGTAGTGTTCTTCCCCATAAATTTCAGAGATAGTAACGTTAGAGTTAGATAGAAACTACCTGTATTTAAGACACTACACATACCGATTCTAGTGGTCACGACCGTTGTGTGCATATTTACCCGCAGTTAGATCGGTTTTGAGGCACATGAAAGAAACCGCCGACCGGCTCCATTAGGGTTTATTCAGTAACCCTGTATGAATAGATTTATGTGGATGCGACAGGTGTCGGTTTTGAATGAGAATCACAGTAAATTTGTAGCATTCAATTTAGATTGTACCAGTAAACCAGAGGAGCTATCCACGAAAATGTCCACGGGGCTACCCAGTTTTGGCAGGCGGTAGCTCTCCAATGAAGTGCGAAGACTTCTCCCACAGTCGAGAGAACGTCCCAGCTGCCTTGCTCGTACGTTCATCTAGGGGAGCTCTTTTAAATGATAAACTGGAGTGACCTCTCCAGATACCATCGCTGATACATAGAGGCAGCAAAGAAGTGTCCACGTTGCTGGCCGTGTGAGGTAGAGACTTGTCTGGGCTCTACCCCTTGATCATTCAGGCATCATGGGATGTGAGGTGGTGAGGAACCACCGTGTGTTGCTCGCGGATTCATGGAGTCACACAAGCCACCAAACGACTTCGAAGTGCAGTCTCGTTTGGATGGGGAGTCATGGTAGATGTCACATCTGAGCATGTCTCCGGAATATTTTGTGCTTCAATCATTGTCATGAGAAAATGGGGTGAGTTGAGGTCCAAGTGGTGGGTCATAGCTCCATTGCTTTTTTCTGTTATTGAAGCGTTTACCATTAAAACGTATTTCTCACCTAATGTATGTTTGCGTACGGTCCTAGAGAATTTGACAAAATTGTTTAACATTCGTGTGGACAAGCGCGGACGCACAGACGCGCTCGATTAAACGAATTATCAACTAAGACGTGTCGATCAACAGCCTTCAATTCTGACAGGCCTTGTAGCTGTGATGAGTCACAACTCAATCGGTTCTCGTTCACGCAACCCGCACAGGTCGAACTGTATCGCGATGCAAGTTTGCGAATTGCTAAAACATTTATTAACCGGATATTTCATTCTTATTTAACACACATTTTTGTTTGATGAACAGTAGATGGGGTGAAATCCCTGAGTCGTGTAGACAAGATGCTGTAGTGATGGGAACCGGCAACCAAATTCCTGGGACTTGAAGTGGTGAGCCATATAAAGCCTCAGTAGATTAGGCGTGGAATCAGACGACAGGAAAACTGCCCACCAATAAAGATGATGGGCGCTGGCAGGATTCGAAGTTCAGATCATCGGGTTTAAAGCATAAGGTTGACCGAGTTTAACACAAAAGCTCTCAAATAATCATAAAATCGGTTTATCCCACATGCATGATGTAAGCAATCAGTCTAATATGATAAAGCCGGATAACCAACGACCAACAATTGATATAGCTGTCTGGTGTGTGTGAGTACTTTACAACAAAGATTTTGACGGATTCGGCCTCTTTCGGGTTGTAGCACGACATGTCCTCGGCTGTTCTGTCTTCTTCACCCCGTACAGCATAGCAAAATGTCGGATTGTTTGCATCGGGCCAGGGAAATCGTGAACAAGCTTTGCGTTCTACTGCGGACACACCGTTTTCGATCCGATTGTCGTAGAACACACTATTCGAGAATTTGGGCAGCTCCGGATGCATACGATATTGTGTCTGTGAGAGGGCAGTCGGGGCAAGGACGTGAAAGCATAAATTGGATCCAGTATGAGGTGAATACTCTAGGTGGATTACTCACTCCATTGGCACTCAGCTTAACGAGGTCAGATCAAAATGTAAGGACCAACATCGACGGAAGAGATCGAAGCAGATTAGCACCCTAGTCGGAAAATATATTACTGCGCAGGTGATTTCCAATTACAAATGTTACGCACGAGTATTGAACCGGGCATGCTTCAATTTAGCGTGAATCTTTGATTTTTTAAATGCTGTGAACTATCTGGTTCGAGTACAGTTGGACAATATTCGCGTAAATGCTCGGATGTCAGATATTGGTGAATAAACTACGGAATCGGTAAGGAATTGAATCGTGACACAGAATGTCGTTATTCAGCCGCGACAATCGATTATCTGGGTAATATCTGGTAGAAGGACAATGTTACCACACCTAAAGTGCACTGAAAAAGACGCGGTGTCCAAGACATTAGAATTGTGGTGAATTAAGTTTCAACTATGTTGTGCTGTTGTCCCGAACTAGACCTGCTTGAACTAACTTCATCTATGGCAATTAGTAACGTACGAACCTTTAACTCAGATTCCGGATTAGTGGTACGGAATCTAGATCGTGTCCAAGAAATCGATTAACCTTCTGCTGAAAGCCTCCTCAATTTGCACAAGGATCAAGGCAATCAGTCTGCCTTGAGATTTGTTTCCCATTAGGCTTTCATCCGTAACACCATAGATGAAGCCGTCACCACGGCATGAGGCTTCACCAAGTGAAACCTCAACTATGTGGTTACCAAATGTTTTCTGATACTCCTTCCCATTCGTCCAAGCATCGTGGTTCTCTTCTGAGCTTTTATTGAACACGATAGGCATGAATGCACTAATAAGCAAATATAAATCCACTGGGAATATAGAGGGCACAAAACCCAGTGAACACTCTAGCTTGTACTAATTCGCCACCGCATTTTTCCAACCACAAACTCTTAAGTATGGTGCAGGATCAATAAATAAGATGATGAAGGCATTCCTTCAACAAATATTCTCTGTCTCACAGATTTTATTCGTTTGGCTGTCCTATGCTGAGTGTTTCACGAATAAAACCAGGATACTGATATATTTGAAGGCACCAAGCTAGCATTTATGTTTTCCATTGGGAAGTAATTCTTGAGCCTTGAAATGTGCTATTCTTTCTTCCTGCCCACGCTCTACTTAGCACAGTTATTTATTTGATTTATGAAATGTCAAACATATTAATCAGATAGATGACTGTTTATGCTGTCATACTATTTCAAACCCGTGTGATTTATGAGTACAGAATGTTTAGTTTTGATTCCCCCGGGGCCCCATTGAACCCCCCTTCATTGACAGCTCTCTTGTTTGTAGGTTAAATAATAACAAGCATTTTGATATTACTAAGGAAAGTATTTGTAGATGGTCTACTTATATTCTTAGTACTGTTAGTAAACTCAGACTCTTGTCTTTCCACATCCGTAGGTAGATGCTCAAACAGGCTGATCTTTAAAGGTAGGTAATGCATTTTCGCGATCTGCGACCGCGATCCGATCTCTAATTCTACCGTGTTTCTCGATCACCGGTATGGATCAGGAAGAACAACCGGTTAGTCGAGGGAAAGTATATTGTTCCCTGAAAGCACCGGAAATTTAGCCTGACTACCCTCGAGGTTCTGAAAGCAAAAATTGCTTAGCAAGAGAAGGTGTAGCACTGAACTCACGCGCCGTTTAAAGTGAAGTTACTTCATCGGAGGTGTTTGTTGCTTAAACAAAGATAAAAGACCTAGCGGAAGAAGCGGCCTCAGGATATTGAAGATCCTGACAGAATCTACGCTACAAAGGGGAAGGATGCACGAGCAAATGCTCCAAGTAACCAAGTAACCTGCTACCATGCGAAAGCATACATGCGGAACAGGCAGGCAAAGGTGGCGATAACTCTCGAGCTTGTTACAATGTCGGTCCGATTAATCTTCCCATCATTCAGGTGGATCGAGTTTCCTTTATTTCCTGCAATAACAGATCTTAATATAAATTCTCGTGTTCCCATCTCTTACTGACAAGGCCAAATTTTCTATCACGTCTGGGATGAATCGTGCGAGTTGAGTGAAACACTAGTAGGTATCTTACTGTGTTACTTCTCTACCAGCCCTTAGATAGAATATCATTCATAACCTGGTCATCCATGCAGATCGAGAAATACACGATCGATCGGATTTATGCATCAATCGCAATCATGGATCGAGGCTGGAAAAAAAACAATTTTGACCAACGATGTGCACTGAACGGACACAGATTCTCAGATTCTCAATTCAAATGGGATGATTTCCAAGTAAAAAAAATGATGGTTTCACATATCAAAATGATAGATAGTTTGTCAACTTAATCCTAAAGTGTTACAGTTGTCCAATATACTATTTGGTGGTCAGGTGTACAGTAGGTTTGAGCAAGTGCGGATCTCAGTTGTTTTTAAGTAACCAGCCTACATCATCATCTTTGAATTGGTGCACCACATGACTAGTAACTCTGAAACTGACACAAATGTTTCTTTTACAATTCTTGGTTTGGTGTGATTATTATTGAACGCTTCGGGGTAGGTGTACTTTGCTGACATCTTCCAAAGTTATTCTAGGTCTTGCTTAATTTTGCCTTGCGTGCAGATCCGCCTCGTTCTGCCAAATAACGTCCAAACAAGACCACGTATATACTCCCCGAGCACAAAGTTCTCGAAGTGTAACTATTGACCAGTCCATCTGCTCTTCACCGCATGCCAATGTCGAGGAAATTTAGTGTGTTCTCGATTTCGGGTTCCATGGTGAACAGAATGTTTGGATGTAATCTATTAGGTTCCTGCAGAATTACTGTAGCCTCTTCGAAGTTTTCTGTCATAACAAAGGTATCGTAGACGTATTGTTTGTACATGATGACACGTTCCAGAACGTCTGCCCGAAATGGGCCTGGCGGGCTACCCATAGCGACACGGTCAATTTACCTGTAAGTATATCATTGAAAAGTAAAAGACACATTGGTTGCGCAGAGTAGTAAAAGGCACTCAAGAATCGAAAATAGTCCGTGAGATCTCAGAATTTGTATTTCAGCTTCAAGTAACACACCATATTTTTCGCGTCTATCAAGCATCCAGTTGTAAATCAGTTGTAACAAGCTTCTCAGTTGTTCAGATCATGCTGCAATCTTCTTAACCAAGACAAAATCCTCTTTGTATACAAATCAAATCCTTTCGTTACTCTCAGACAATCAGCTAACCATTCAAACAGCTCGTCTGAATGATCTTTGAAAATGTGATCTATTCTTGAAAATTATTGAAAAACCTGGCCTTCCTTAGCTGTCACCGGATAATTGAACTGGTAATTAATGTATTCACCAGATGGTAACGATTTGGCTCAAATTATATTCTGCTTGGCTACAATAGAACATCGCGCACCAATATTTGGAAAAACATAGCATGTGAATTTGTCCAAGTCGTTGAAGCCCAACCTGTAGATAGACATGCGGGCACCGGCATTTTCGTTACTCAGATTATGTGGGACTCATGTTCTGCTACTTGGAAAGTATTCTCACCTGAACTGAAATTGTGCGCAGACTTCTGCGCGAAAACAATTGTGCATTGTGATGCACATAATACGCAACCTATCAAGACATGAACTAACTCGTGGTGTTTCCTCCAACGGTAGTGACGTTCACGTCCAAGCTGCACTGCTCGAGCTTTACGCTAACACTTTATTCGCAATTAGTCCAACTCAATTTATCCGATATTGTATTTACACCCTACGAGATTTGTCTCAGGGTTCAACACTTTTGAGGTGACCCAGAGCCCGATGACTACATCAACCACAAACCGATGCCATACAGCACCAGTACGTTCAATGATAATTCGGTGTTGTTGACGTATCACCATCTACCTGCTTCAAATAAAACTCGTATGTCTTTAACAGTATGAATAGCGACGTCATGCAATAATATAGTTTGGAGCATATTATTCAATTGCATTCGTTCGTTCTAATAAATGTAGTCTTCTTCGTTCGTCTCGGTTACGGAAAATTCTGCATANTTGAGGATTCATTTATGCTATTACATCCGCGCGTGTTCAAGTGATTGTTGAACAATTCTGTCAAACAGGACTCGTATGTATGAATATGAATAGCGCGACGTCATGCAATAATATAGTTTGGAGCATATTATTCAATTGCATTCGTTCGTTCTAATAAATGTAGTCTTCTTCGTTCGTCTCGGTTACGGAAAATTCTGCATAGAATCATCATCATCGAAAACTTCGTTTCGTTTTCTAACTTGGCTTTCTTCAGCAAAAAGCAGGGTATTTAAAAACAATAAGCCTGTACTTCTTTTCTTTCAAGGTGAAGGACTTGTTGTTGCCCTATTTCCAACATGAACAAGCAAACATAACTGTTCTATCGGTTCGGGAACACGATACTTCTATGTTCTGTAAGTGTAGAGCTTCTTGATGAAATTCACTCAAGTGGTGGATGCGCGAGAAGGCATCCGTGACAGGGTTGTTCAAACTAGCGTGATGTTACACGTTGCGCGTGTATTGTGTAATTTATTCAAGGTGTCATGACTGTCGAGGAGAAAGTATGTCGTTAGTACCAGGTGTTTGTTGAATGTTGCTGTTTATCCTAAGATGGTCATAATTAGCCTGATTGTCACAGTACCGAAACTTGTCGCTTAATTCAATCCAAGGTCTCAGAAATGAGTGACACAGGTAAACATTTTCCCTCCTTATATTTGTCAACTACCTCCCATTTCGGTCAAATTCGTAAACAACTATTCAGTTCTTTTGGCAAATTGCTTCATTTCATTTTGGACACTGGTAGTGTGAAATTTCTGAGTTCTGTTCATGATATGCACATTTACAAATCCCGTTGCTAACTTTTCTGCAGACGGCTGCTGTACTTCATCCATTGTGGTAATTGTGTAAAAACCGAACATTCGTGTTTCTTTACATGATTAAAGTCAAATTCAAAGTTTTATTACGGGAAATACTTACAAGCCTTTGGTTTCCTAGACCCATACGATTTAGCACAGATGAATCAATTCACATTTCATACAAAGTAGATGAATGTCACATTATGTCCTCGTTTCGTGCACTTCTACGGATGTTGGAATTTAAGACTTTTCAAAGCTTTATCCAGATTGTGCTTGAATGAATCAATTTTGGGTGCAGGAGCAACTTGTGGTGGTAGAGAATTCAAAGCCATTGTAGTGATTGCTTATGAACTATGAACTCTTTTGTTTTATTGAACACGATATTCTTGTACATTCCGAATTTCCGCTTATTACAGTTCCATTCCGTCGCTGAGTTCTGTCTTCTGATTTTATTTCGAGTCCTAGTTCTGGGTTGGACTGTTACTGCGCGGAATCCGATACATATACGAACTGCAAGTCTCTAAGGGAAAATGAATGGCGCGGGCTTTCTAGTCCGCATTTTCGGAGTACTAGTTTACATGGGTGCTCCTCAGATTAGTGTTGGGCAACAACGCAA